TGTTAATTCCTATCATTTTGTCTTGAGACCCTGTTTCACTTTACATGTTCTTGCTTGGTATTTTTATGGTTGTGATGCTGGTATGCTGCTGCTGTTCTCTTTTTTTTCTCATTTATGACTCTCTTTAAAATAAAATTAAACAAAAAAAGAGGGACTGCCTTCAGAGACCCCAAGTCATGTCCTGCCAGCCAAGGCAGCCCCTGAAAGTGGACTGCACTCTGAGGCAGAGTGCTTAGACTCATCTTCCAGGTGGTCCGGTAGGGCTGAAGTGCCTGGTTGCACTCTGCCTCCTCCCTCTGGCCAAATTGTCATCTCCACCGAGGATCCCTGAGTAATCATGACTACAGGAAAAGAAACCAGCCTATTCCTGGACTTGGGCACAGGTCTCTTTGTCCTTCTCCAACCCTGGCCTGCCTTCTCGTCTCCATGCCTCAATAAAAAGTTACTAAAAAAAAGCTCACTTAAGCTGGAACTGGGATAACTTTCTCTTCACTCACTCCTTTTAGTTATGCCTAAAAGCCTAGGTCTGTCATCCTGGAGAGATTTTATCCTGTCTAAATACTATAATATGTATTCAGGTTGCCAACTAATCCAAATGATGCTGAGGCTGGTTTTTACAAATGTAGTACATATTGTTGCTCATGTACAAAAATTTAAGAGAGTTTTTCATTGGTCAAAATAAGGTGTTAATCTGGTTTTCATAAGCCATCAAAAATTTAGAAAATAACTTCTAGAGGGACTTAGAAGAGAATGTCAGACTCCATCAGTAAAGGGGTCTAAGGCCAGTGGGTTACAATTGTTATCCTTTAAAAACAGTTGTCTAAACTTACCTATCAGCTCTTACCGCTCATGCTTTGATAATACATGCTGTCATTTCTTGGAAAATTTGTTCTTGCCTAGAGGATGCCAGGCCCTGGGTTATCATACAGATACAACCTATAACAAATGTAGATTACTTTCGATTCCTTTTACTGGAATCCACCAGATCTTGTCTAGAGAGAGGGTTGTATAACACATGTCAAGGCCTTAACTAACTATATTCAGTGGGTCTTAAGTGACACCACAGCTGGTCTCTCTCCTAAATAATAATGTAAAATTAATAAGACCAGCCATCCTTCAAAAATCAGATGACATTAGACATTCTAAGAACACAAAAAGTACTTGTACAGTTATAAAAACTAAATGTGTATACATTCCTGATTCTTCTCCTAATATCTCAATAGCTGTTCAAGATATTAGATGACAGAGCAATGACACGTCAGACTGAAACTCCCTAGAACATACCCTGATCCTCTTTATGGGAAGCCATTACCGGTCCTCTTGGTGGAAATCTTTGCTGACTGTATTCCTAATTATCCTGTTGATCTTATTATTTGACCCATGCATACTTAATTGTTTCTTTGGCTTTGTCTCCTCCAGACTTAAAGCTACATGCCTACCCAAGATGAAAATGCCTGGTGTCTATTGAGGGCCTTTAGATTGACCCTCTGGAGAGTATCACTGACTGCCGATCAACAACTACAACCCCCTTCATCCTACACTATTCCCTCGCAGCAGTTCAGGTTACTTCTTCAGAGGGGGGAATGTTGTAGGCAGCTGAGTTAGATAGAAATATTATAGGCAGCCATACAGGGCCAGGTCCTCTAAGGAGCCAGTATGGAAAACAAGATACCTTGTGAATGGAGAGATAGGCACTTGCCCTGTGGGCCAGACCTCAAGACAAAAGATGAAACACATGCACCCACAAACCTCCCTAGGGGTGGACATCAGGGATTGATATTCTAAATAGGTAGCCATCACCTTGAAAAAGCCAGGAAGAGTCACTGCCCAACCCCACAGGAAAAGCCCCAGTTCAGTATTCAGGCCCACTTGCTACATGACTCACTTCCCCATTTGCTCCCTATTTAATCAATTTTACCTGAGCAATTATACTCATAATCTTATTGGCTAACTGTAGTTTTGTCCCGCCTCATGCCCACCATGTGATTTCCCATGTTTCCCACCTTGGACCCGCTTCACCTCATGGCTTTGCTCGATAAAAGTCCCTAGAAAAGGCAGGTTCCTTGGCAACCCATGCGGGCCCCCTTCTGTCCCTCTCTGGGACAGAAGCTTTCCTTCTCCCAGTAAATACATTCTGCTCTTAACCTCTGTTGTTCTTAAAATGCATTCTTTGATTTTGGAAAACATCAGCTCGTCCCAGGTATCTTTCAGGTTGGGAGTTTCTTTCCCCTAGATCATCTTCACCAGTGTATCCGTTGATTTCTCCCTACTCATGCATAAAGTAAAACGAGCATTTCCAAGAACTGCTTGAGAAAGTGGCAAGAACATGAAATAAGTGCGTGCAAGGCAAGGAGTACCCTGAGGGGGGTTGATGGCAATGTGTCTCTCCCATAATTTTTTTTAAAACTTTAAGCACGCGTGTAAATTTTGATCACCCCTGTTTATTAAAATACCTTTTAGTTTTAAGTTAACCCTCCTCCTTTCCCAAACTTTAAGGTATGTCCGAACTCACTAGGCCTTACAGAACATTTTACAAATCTCTGGCCATCAATAAGTCAGCTGCTGCTTAGAAATGTGAAGTGAAGGGGCTGGGGATTTAGCTCAGCGGCAAAAGTGCCTGCCTGGCAAGCGCAAGGTCGTGAGTTTGGTTCCCGGTACCGGAGAAAAACGAAAAAAAAAAAAAAAAAAAGAAATGTGAAGTGAAGGTTGATGTGTGTGGTCGCTGATGGGCTTTTATTTTCTTTCCGTGCAGGTTCGTTCCTCTTTATTTGAACTGGCTAAGAAAACAAAGTTTCATTTATGTCGCCATATCTTGGTTACCATCATACTCTTGATCATCCTCAACTTATTGGTGATCTTCATCCCATCCATGAAGGACATTTTCGGAGTCGTAGGTGCGTCTGTTTTACTTTGCCCTGATCATTTAACGACGCACAGCAGCTCTTGAAAGTTAAAATTTCAAAATAACAACCACAAACTTTCTCCTTTCCTTTCTGTTTTGCAGGGGTGACATCTGCTAATATGCTTATTTTCATTCTTCCGTCATCTCTTTACTTAAAAATCACAAACCAGGATGGAGATAAAGGAACTCAAAGAATTTGGGTAATGTCTCGCGCCAGCCAATGTTTCTGATTCGTTTTCCATTTAAATTTAGCAAATAAGTAGTCCATCTCTCTGCCATCTACTACTACTTCCGGTTGCCTTGAAAGGAGGTATTAGCCCGTAGTTTCCCCTCGGGGTGATAAAAAATTTCACATCAGAATCTTCTCCATTCCCTCAAAATGTTTCTCCCGGTTTTACCTTCCTACGACTTAGCTTTTGTTCTGATGCAGAGCGTGGCCAGCAGGAGGATGGAGGCTTGTGCTCCTGTGTCTCTGTAGGCCAGTGCCCTCCTTGCCTTCAGCAAGATAGGAGCATAGAGGAGCTCAAAGGCTAATGCAGCCCGCTGCTGCCGTACGATTTCTAGCTCTGTAACAGCTTCTTACAGCCCAGAGCACATGCAAGGCCCCTTGAATGAAATGCCTGGAATTAGCTTAAAGAGTCTTTATGATTTGACAAATTTTTGGAACAAGCAGACCTGGATTCAAAAACTACCTTTCTATATTGGGATTCTTGTTTCCAGGTCTGGTGACGTTCAAGGGCATCTCGAAGGTGGTGCACTTGGAGACAGTGAGGGGAGCAGGGCTGGAGTGGCTGCTACTGAGTCCCTTCTGGAGCACCATGTTGCTTGGCCTCGGAGAAGGCTTCTCAGCTGCCCTCTCAGATAGTGTAAGCACCGCACTGCACATGGTACCAAGCCAACAGACCCAGGGGAGAGAGCAGCGTCGCTGCTGCTGGAACAGCACCTAGTTCCCTGAGAGACTGCCCTGACGCCGTGACCCCCCAGTCCTTCTGAGCCTCCCCTGTAGGCGCCTCCCAAGACAGAGAGGAAGGAGCAGGCGCTGCGGCACTGAGCGAAACACATCACATTAACGCTGCGAAGGAGGGGGCCTGTGGCCCGGGGTTTCTCCGGGCCTCTCCTTCCCTGCTCTTACGTTAAATCCGGGTCTTTCAGATGGCATTAGGCCAGGGCTGTGGCGCGCAGTGACTGCTGGTCAGACTGGTCCGCCCCCCCTCTGCCGCCTCCTGTCCCCTTAGCGCCGTCTCCGCCTCACTCCCCGGGCAAACCCGCTCTCGCGGGCCGTCAGCCCTTACCCCCGCACTGCTTTGCTGCAGGTTTTCAAGGCTCAGGGACTTAGAACCTCATGTTGGACCGAGTCACCTGTTCACCCAGGACCTTCATCAGCTCCTCGGGGAACCTGGCTTTGGACACACGTTTCCATTTCACTCAATCAAATCTACTTTGTTTCCATGGACAGTGTGTGTTCCACTTTTTCACACAGAAATGTTTGCCTTGTAGTGATAACCTGGGCTGCTGGGTCCCAAGTAACAAGCAGCCTGGGTACTTCCCAAGGCTGGCGTCCTTTCTTCCCCTCCTTCCCTCCCCGCCCTCTTCCCACTTATAATCTTAGTTTGAGAGGAAGTGGTAAGGCTCCCCCCACTGGTAGACGGATGCCTGTGGGGTGATGGGACGTCAGGACAGAACCAGAGCTTGGCGCCCTTAGTGTTTCCCGTCCTCGTCCTTTCCTGCAGAGTCAGATTCACACGATTCGACAGATACTCTCACTGCTCAGCAAACTTCAACCACGGGGCACAAAGGGGGGGCTCTAGGTTGTAACCCAGGTGTGTGTGTGAAAATGCTGGCTGTACTGGAGCTCACCCAAGCCCTTTTCTTGCTCCAGGCTGCCCTGTTCCTGGGGCTGGGGGTGTTGTTCTCTTTGATCAGCATCCCCTTGGTCATCTACGACTGGGCCTCCTCACCCAGTGATGAAGGAGGCCACTGAGACCAGCCAAGAACAGAAAATGTTCCGGTCTGCTGCCCGCCGAGTCACCGCACATCCGCAACCCCTCGCCGCCGCTTTTCAAAGCTTACAGAAGCAAACAGAGACGTGCAAGCCACTTACAGTGGAACAACACTTCGGGTGCGAAGAAGAACCTCTACGTCCCCCTCCGCCTCCCACATTTCATGGAATCGTATTTTCTAATCCTTCTCACAAGCAGTCATTTTCACTCCCCTAACTGTGTTTGGTGGCTTCCTGGTCTCTTAGAACTTTAAAAACATGACCATCCATCATGTTTGTTTATTGTACATCCAGCTTCTGAAATGATTTTCCTACTGACGTTCAGCTCACGGTATCTGTACCTTTTTAGAAGAGAAAAGAATCTTGAATTGTATATATTTATTTTGCTTTACAGGGAAAAAAAAAAGTGGTTTCATAAATAATTTGCCTATTTTGGTTAACACAGCACACAGGGATAATCAGAGGAGAGTCGTAGGGCACGTGCCGCTGCTGGGTCCCAGCCGGCCCAGTTTGGAGGTGGCCGTGATCCAGGCCGCCCAGCAGCTGCCCCACCCTTCTCCTGAGTGGAGACGTGCGTGTGGGCGCTCTCCCCAGGGAAGGGGTGGGAATGATATGTTGGTAAATACACAAAACTACACATTTGGGCGATGTAGCAAGTGAAGTTTTGTCTCCCTCTTGGCATCCCGTGTCAGAGTCTGCTTCTACGGGGGAGACCCAGGGCGCCCTCCGTGAAGAGGCTGTCCAGAGTTTGTGAGAGGACGGTCCTCACACTGGGACGCTCTTCAGCCTTACAGCTGTGTTGTTGAAGGGGGAGGAAATGATTAGTGAGGTCAGAGCCCAGCGGCGTTTAGTCCTGTCCACCAGCTTTTAGCAACAGAGAGTACGTGCACCTAAAGATGATGTAGGATAAGCAATTCCTGTTTTATATTGAGTATTTTAGAGTCTTTAAAAGACTTGTTTTATATAAATCTAGGTTATTATAAATACAAGACTTTTGTACCTTCCATAGGCCTCCTTTCTGTTTATTCTCCACTAGCTGTCCATCTAGTCTGGCAGATAACCTCTCAGAGATGGTCTTTTTGAACAACATCTGCTGCAATCACTGTGTACCTTGCTTCCCCCAATGGGGAAGGCGAGGGGGCCTCAGTGACTGTCCTGTCTCTTCCCGTTACTGCCTGTGTCAGTTGACCCACACCGGAGGGCAGCTGCCCCTCATTCTTACCCCAGTTTTTCTCCAAAGGGAGAGAGCTTGGGACCAGGCAGCTGGGAGAGGAAAGGGAGCCAGAGCGTCTCCTCGCCAGGCTGGCCTCCCCGGCCTTTGGATTATCCGTGTCCTGTGTGGTAAGCAGCGTGCCTGTTCTGTGAGCTCTCCCTTCGAAGCAGGGCGGTTTCATCTGTGTGCATTCTGACTGAATTCTCCAGACACACGAGGTCACTGAGATACCTGGAGAGAAGCAGAGCCGAACTGCAGGCGGTTGGCCGCGTGTCTAGGTGCTCAGCTCTGGATTCTGATCCTGCTGACTCGGATCTCCAAAGGCCTTCGCTCCTGCTGAGAGTCACAGAACTTGCCCTCCCTTTTCAGACTAACGTCCCTTAGATAAGACAGACAGCAAAGGATGCTGTGGCCCTCTTGGGCGAGAGTAAGGGGTTATCTCTTGCCTTGAATCAACATAGTTTTTCATGTTATGCTAAGAGTTAGATCTACATTAGGTCAGAGTTCAGGCAGTTAGGAACATCTGACGTAGGTATGAATCCTAACCCCGTAGAACCCGCAGCCATCTCTGTCCTCCTCAGATGTGGTTCCCGTGTTAAGAGCAATGACAAACTCTGCAGAAAGATTCAGCCGCCCTTTGGGGCTTATCTGGAGCACCAAGAAATAAAGTAATCGGGCCGTGGGACAACCCTACATGTACAAATACAGTTTGCCAGCCCTGCTGTGCTCCTGTCTCCTTGCTTTAAGAACAGTTCGTTTTACATTTACAGAGTGAATTCAGAAAATTACCATTAACTCTGGGATGTGTAGTGAGGTTTTTGGGTCTCCGAGTTTTGTGTGTCTGTACCTGAAATTTATTATTTAAAATATATTTATTTAGAGGAATCACACCGGTGTTGATGTCTGTGAGACCACATGTTTTTAAGCCCTTCTTCGTGTGTTTATCGAAGTTTCCTGTTGACTGAATATACTAGACCTTACTGTAACTTGTCCAATGTCACCGGTTACATGGCTTGTGTGGGGTTAGCTGTAAAGTGTACTGTTCTTACTCTTGTTCAGAATAGTGAATTGGTAGCCAAAAAAGCCCATGCATCGTAGATGTGAGGTAGAATTTAAGCAGCACGGTCAAGTGCTATGGATGTTTTTCTGCTAAATTAGTAGACTAAAGAGTGCTGAACCTTCGCCATGGGAAGCAGCAGACTTTCCTGTGCTAGACAGGGTCTCCATACTAGGGAAATGCCAGTTCATTCTCTGGGTTCAGAGCTGTTCTCTAGTTAGTGTAACAGAGAGTACTGTGAGTCCCTAATGTAAGTCCTACTTACTGAGCCAGGTAGTGAAGCATTGCAGGAAGAAAGTTACGCTTGTCGGGGCAGGCAGTCCCCAGCGTATGAGGAGATCAGAATCCAAAAGTTTGGACATTGATTGTTTGCAACCTAGAATGTATTTTCCTTTAGAAATCAGGTTATACATCAGGCTGGCCCAGAGGCCAGCTAGAAAAAAGTAATCAGACCCACAGTGTAGGTGAAATAGAATCTGCCCGTAACAACCAGGCCAGCAAGTGGAATACTGTTTCTGGGGTGCCCGTGCTCAGATGGCCAAGAGTAGGTCACTGCCTGTTGGTGGGATGTGGCCCGCCCGTCCCCAGCCCCGTGCACACTAAGCCCTGCTGACCAGTGGGGTCAGTCGCCGCCAGGTTGTCCCCTGCAAAGATGGGGAGGAGTATGTCCAGAAGCCTGTGGTAGGAGGAGGAGGAAGCAGGATGAGGCATCTCCTGTGGGTGGTAAACTTGCAGGGCATTTCCTGGCTGGTGCCTGGGCTTTCCTCTGCCTCTCCAGCTGGCCTGCCTGCCTCCCACCCCACCGCAGCCGAGGTCGGTGCTGTCGCTTCTCCCTGGTGCAGGAATATCTCTGCAAGTGGCCGAGGCTTAGCAGCCCAAACAGAGGAAGGGCAAAGAAAGCTCGCTACCCACTTCCTTTCACCTTCTCACACCCTGTAAGAAGAAGGCAGTGGTGAAGGCTGGCGTGGACAGAGACTCCCCAGCGCTTTGGAGGACACCGCAGACCCACGAACGGACTTCGTTGTGGAGCTGGACCTGGGCCTCCAAGCCGGTGGTCGCTAATGTGTGTGCGCAGGCCCGGCCATCTGCCGCATGGCCTTCCGGGGCCCTGGTGCTCCTCGGGTTTGAGGAGCCCTCCAAGCTGATCAGCGTCTCCTTTGTTCTGCCTGTTAGCCCCTCCTTGGAGATGGCTCCTAGAACCCCCGAGGGGTCCTCGCGGCGGACCTCTTGGTGTGAAAGCACCCTCGGTTCCATCCCAGCGGGGCAGTGTGGGTGGCGCTTTTAGTTTGAGTGAGGAAGAGGCAGGTGATGTGATCAGGTTATTGATTTTATGCCTTACAGCAAAACTCTGTTAGTCTCCCTCCGTGTATCAGTTTGAATGGTTTGAGGCTTACCAAGAGCATATAGGCTTTAGGAATATAATTCCCTCATTCAAGTAAACATCTAGCCACTTTCAAAACGAAGATGCAATATCACTTAGCAATATTAATACATGACTTACTTTCCTTAGGGGTGTGGGTTCTGAGAATCCTTAGCAATACAGTGTCCTCTAAAATAGGGTGGATTATTGATAATGATGTAAGGCTTTCAGATACACATTGGGGGCAGGGTGGTTGATAACTGAAAAATACTACTAAATCGAAAAGGGAGAGTTCTTGGGGCACAATGCAAAGTAGGCGCAGATGCAGACGCCCTTGTCCCTAGGATGTCCTGAAGAAGGGCCTTGAGACCGAGCCTATCCGTACACGGGCTCGCATTTGTGTTTTTAAAGGAATCTACGCAGCTGAGGCTTCTTGTAGGAATACTTCCTCTGTAAATACACTGTAAATAAATAGGAGGCTGTATATTTTTGCATTTGTTTATCCTCACTGAAATAGAAGATGCTAGAGTCTGCATATAAAGAATAAGTGTTTTCGGGCTGGGGACGTGGCTTAGCGGCACAGCACCTGCCTGGCAAGCGCAAGGTCCTGAGTTCGATTCCCAGTACCCAAAGGAAAAAAAAAAAAAAAAGGATAAATGTTTTCATAGATATTAGTGGTTTTGTTTGGGAATTAGAAAATTTTTACATTCTCTCCCAGGTAACATAGTTCTCTGGATGTAACCTTGTAACCTAAAATCTTACTTAACTGTTTAGAAAAAAAACGTCTAAGAAATAGCTGTGTTGATTTCTTATGCTGGTGTTAAAGATCAGTTATTTAAGCAATAGTTCTCTGAGCTACCGGTAGGGAGTATTTAGACCCAGGTCATTGTCATGTAGAAGCAGGTGTATGCAAAATGACAAGTTGTTTCTTCATAAAGTTCTTTCACTGTTAACATTTATGCCACTGCACAGTATTTACGGAAGTAGAAGGGGGGGAATTTTTTCCCCCCCAAATTGACTTGCTGCATTATCCCATTTGGGACCTTTGAGGAGGAGAAAAAAAAAATGAGTATTAACTATGAGCACAAATTTGAAGGGAAAAAAATGTTATTTTATCAAGATTTTGAAAGTCCTGCATGTCTGCTGTTTATTTTAATGTCTACACCCACATAAAATGTCTTACATACTTTTTCCCAAAACACTTGAATTTCTAGAACATCAGAAACCCGCTATGTAAAGCTCAATGTATTTTAGACTTCATGTGAGTCTACTACATGTAGCACACCACCATTTTATTAATGTAAAAACTTTGTAAATGAATTTCAGATGGGTGTTTTAAAAGCGAATCACACATCACAGAACTTCACTATTCAGAGTTAATTTAATGGAGCTGGGTTTTTTCCAAAGTGTGGTGTAAATAAAGAAATGTAAGAAGATCTGTTCTATAACTGTTCTGTTAACATAGTTTTTAAACAATTAAAATGTGAATTAAAAACAAATCGTGCATTGATGATTTTGGAATGGGGTACGGACACAGGGCAGCTGGGTATCGTGTATTCTCTTCAGTGTTGCTGGTGGAAGATTTGCACACACTCGTCATGCGCTCAGTCACACAAGGTTACATTCCAAGAAGCCGGATTAAAAAAAAAACTTCTGATAAGAATGTATCTGGTATTGTTCTTCGTAACCAGAGTGGGAGGGACAGCGCTTGAACCCGGTTCACCTTCACGAATATACCCATTTCTGCTCTGTGTTGTAGAGGGGCCTTTTCCATACTGCAGCCGGCATAAAACGACGTTCTGTCAATCCTTGGACTTCCGTAAGACCTGCTGGGAGAAAGGTGCCGAGCCTTGCCTTTCCCTCCCTGTGATCTCTGTCCTAGGTGGCCCGGCCATCTACTCCTGACATACAGATCCTTGTGGACACAGTGCAGGGGTAGCACCGGCCTGGGTGTGACCGCTGAGCCTTGTGGTTCCTCCTTGGACTGCCCAGGTGACGACAGCCCTCCCGCAGGGCCGCCTTGGCCCGAAGGGACCTCAGGGTGGAGTCTCCGGCGCAGGAGTCCGAGCCACACGCTGCAGTCCGGCTGCAGGAGGGACAGAGCTGCTGCTTCGGCCCTCACGTGCATCTCGTGCCTGCGTCACTGACCCAAACCCCAGGCGCAGAGGGAGTAACAGCCACTTCCAAACCGAAGCAGTGGTAGAAGATGGTGCGTTGAAGAGGCTGTTGAGGAAATGAGCAGGTTCTGACCCGGTCTGCAGTGCTTGTGACAGTTCTGACCCCTTCCTCCTGCCGTCAGTCCATGCCTGTCTAACACTGCCGCTCTGGTCTGCCCTGTGTGGCCCACGCTTGTGGGGTGAGGCATGCTCTGCCCCTCCTGTCATGGAACAAACTGGGCTTAGTGGAATCTGCACCTCGCAGACCCGGTTGGCTTGGCTTCCAGGTTCATACTCACGTTCTTGGTTAAGAGGGTCTGGGAAGGGAAGATGAGGTGCAAAGGACCAAGCCAATTTTTGTGTGCCTATTTTTGTCTTGCATTAAGTTTTGGGCGAGTCCAAGATGGTATGACAATCTGCTCTTCTTTGGTAGGGTCAGGACAACATAAAAACCTGCCAAACTAAACCAAAGTGTACTGTAAGGCTATAGCTCTTAACACAGATTTGTGCTGCTATGAAAATGAATAAACAGGTCAGAATACAGAATGCAAAAAAGGACCCACGTGATACCAGAAAGGTGGCTTTTCAAATTAATCGAGGAAATGAAGGTTAATAGCTGGTGAGAAAATGTCTAGATTTTATAGAAAATGAAGCTAGATCTCGATATTACCTCATCTATAAAAAGAACTCAAAATATATTGAAGACATTAAACAACATATGGGGCCAGGTGTAGTGGTACACGCCTGTACTCCCAGCACTCATGAGGCTGAGGCAGGAAGATCACCATGACTTTGAGGCCATCCTGGGCTGTGTAGTTCACGGCCAGACTGAACCACATAGTAAGACTCTTGTCACAAAAACTAAATGAAAACAATTTTTTAAAATGCACGCGTTTTTTACAAATGTAAAACATCTTTCTCCAATAAATTAATCATGTGTCTTTTCTTTGTTTTTTGGTTTTGTTTTGTTTTGTTTTTTTTTGTATCTAGGATTAAACCCAGAGCATTTGCACGGAGCTACAACTCTGGCCCTTCTTTTATCTTTGATTTTGACATAGGGTCTCACCAAGTCACTGAACTTCCCAGGCTGGGTTTGAACTTGGAATCTTCCTGCCTCAGCCTCCCAGAATGCTGGGATTACAGGCATGTGCCCACTGTGTTTGTCTTATTAATGAAGGACAAAGGTCTTTTAAAAAGTGGTTCAGAGAAGAAGTCACAGGACAGATAACATTAAATAAGCAATGATAATGCTGCAAGAAACTGCTAATAGACAAAACTAGACTTACCCAAGGGGGAGATTAATTATGCTCCAACCAGACCATTTATTTGCATCTCTGGATGATAATTTTCATCTCTATTAGTTTGCTACAGTTTACAAGTTTAAAACAAAAAAGCAAAATGCATGTTGAACCAGATAACCCGGAAGGGACACAACTGTTCCCAGTAATCTGTTTTTAATTGTTTCCTCTGTTTCCATAAAAGTTCCAGGGGTTATCTTTGGTTGTAAAAGAGCTGATCTCAGTAGATTTGCCCAGGTTATTCACATAGGTGCAGTAACTATGTTAATTAACCGTAGAGACTTCCTTTTGCAAATTAGAGATGAGTGGTACTCAATAGCGACGAGAACTGAAGAACTGCAGTTTCTTGCAGTGTTTGAGGTGCTGGGCATTTGAAGCCAGGGCATGGATCATTCAAGGCGTGTGCTCCACCACAAAGCTATCTTCCCAGCCCTTTGTATGTATTTTTTTTAAAATCTTGAGACAGGCTCTTACTATATTGTCTAGGCTGACCTCAAAACTGAAATCTTCCTGCCCCATCCTCTAGAGTAGCTGGGATTACAGGTGGGCACGGCACGCAGAATTGCACTTTACAAAGTCTACTGTTTGAGTTGGGTGCCAGGGTGCACATCTGTGATCCCACATTTAGGAGGCTGAGGCAGGAGGATGGTGAGTTCAAGGCCAGCCTGGACTACATAGCAAGACCCTGTCTTAGAAAACAAACTCAAATTATAAATAAAGAGCAAAATAAAAGGTAGATGATAGGAAATCAGGAGAGAGATGTTTCTCCAGTGGGAAAAGGATGAAGAGATGGAGGGAGGGAGGGAGGGAGGGACAGGAGGGGAGTGAAGACGTGTTACGTGCCTGGACCAGCTCCACACAAGGAATGAAGACATGATGTCCGCAGACATGCACGAGGAAAACATTTTAAGTAGCTGTCCAAAAAAACCCGAACGACTTCTGGTCCCAACCATTTTCAATAAGGAATACGCAGTCCACAGGAGCTTAAAGAAACTTTATATCTGGAAATGGCGATATATATTCATGCAAACGCACAAAATATTTTTAAATCTCTACAGATGCTATGCCCAAAATGCCCCCCAATAATAAAAAGTCTATTATTTGATGGATCAAGGCTAGGAAAGTAAACTCAAGTTCTGTGTATTTCACCTGTACTACTATTTTGGGTGAATTTCTTTCTACCCAGGCCCCCACAAATTTGTTGAGGTGCTTGGCCTACCAGGAAGTGCCCTTTCTTATCACTTATGAGGTTAATACCCTGCCTGTAGAACTAGGCTTTAGGTTCCAACCCTATAAGCTTGGCCTCAGGCCAGTTTCCCTGGGAGGGTTTTGTAGACGTTGCTCTTGAAGTAAAATCAAACTGCTCTTTAGAGCTATGGCACCCTACTAAATGACCATCATTCGAAAGTCTGCCGTTCCAAGTAAGGCGAGGGTCGCACAGCCAGCTTTGTGTGATGATCTCCTGGGAGAGGGACAGTTCTTTTGTTGAACCTGTGTTAATTGCCATATTGCTATGAAAAAAGTAAGGGAACTCAGGCATAGTTTTTAAATTCAAGAGTGGGAGAGCTCAGTGAGACGCAGGGAAAACATTTAATTCTACTTTGCAAAAGCAGAGTCTGCTAAATTATTGTAAAGATAGCTTAAGAAAAAAAAAAAAAAAAGAGAGAGAGAAATGGCTTTCTTGTATACCCAGAAAATGGAGCATTAAAACCCCAGCAAGGCAGCAGAGTAAAATGCTCCTCCTTGGGTCATTCAGTTCTTTGTGATTTTGTTCCTGAGTCTTGCTTTAGCATCCTGCTTTTGTAAAGCTCTCTGATTCTGGGTTAAAAACTCTCTGATTCCAGGTTAAAAACAGCCCACACTTGCTCCACAGGTACAGCCTCAAAGTTGTCTAGAAATTTCAGCCCAGAAGCTTGTGCCCAAGTCTACTCTTTGAAGTGGCATTGGTTAAGGTATTCGGCACACAGTCCTAGTCCATGTGACTCCAGGGGTGTCTTTCTTTGCTGAAAAAACAGATTTTGGCCTGTGGTCTACAACACAACCTCAGACAAATTTCAGGAGGCATAAACTGATTTGACAGTGAGACAGGGAGCCTGTAAGTTTACTCCAGTAACTCCTGTTATATCATCTGTCCCATCATAGGTGTCCTCAGGTATCCTTGGGCTGTGTGATATTCCACTGAGAGATCTCTCAGTAATCTTTTCTTTTTGGTCCATTTCAGCATCCTTCAGGATTTTCTAGAACAATCTGGAGTAGGGAAGCCTTTCTTGGTACAAAACACAGGACAAACAGAGGAAGTTATCAACACTACAGTGGACCCTTGACTTACAAACTCAATTTGTTCACGAGGGCTGGTTGTAACTCAAGTTGGTTGTAACTCAAGTTGGTTGTAAGTCAAGACTATTTTTCCCACAAGAAATAGTGGAAATACCCATAATGCATTTTTAATGTCCCAAAGCACCCCCTAACTAACCTTTTCATAATAAAAAAGGGTTGTATAGCTTACCAGAAACAGTAACAATTTTTCTGTTGTATTCACCAAAAAGTTATAAAATGTGCCAATTTACCAGAAACAACTATTTTATACCATACTCACCACTCAAGGTGACATCTCTGGCTTGCAGGAAGGACGAGATGGAAGGTGGTTACTGTGTGGAAGGAGAGTCCCCTTCCACAGGAACGTCGGGACTCCGGCTCTCTGTGTCCTTTCTGTCTTTGGCAGAGTCTGTCGCCCACGAGGACTGCTCCTGTCTCACTAGGTCTCAACCTTTTCGTAATTGAAAACAGATCTAAGGTTGTCTGTTTCTGTCTGTTCTTTAACACTGTGCTGTGCTATGACGTGACATTGTCCTTCAGCAAGTGAAAGCAACAGTTCGCCTTTTCTCTGTCTGGTGGGTCTTCTCTACAAATGCTTGTACCTCTCTGGCCTTTCTTTCAGGATTTCCTTTATTTCTGAAGAACTTTGCTGCCCTGATTATTGATACTGCCCATCCTCTTCAGAAAGCCCCTCCTCAACATGACACTGTCTACCTGCAAGCCTGTGGG